AGGAGGAGAGATGATGTAAGCTGCCTGGAGCGCTTTGTAGGAAAAAGGCAGGATACAAATCGGAAAATAAATAAATAAATAAATAAATAGGCGCCCGTCTGAGGCCCGCCCTGCCATCCAGACGCCCCTGGACCTTGGCTGGGCTGAGCTGTGGGAAAGAAATGCCAGCCGCCTCCCTGCCCATGGCGCTGTGGGCCCAGCTTCCTCATTGGCTTTGAACGCCTTCCAAGAAGGCAGGCTTCAGCCATGCACTTTAGAAAGCTTGCCAGATTTCAGGGATAATCCAAGGAGCTTGGAAACCCTTTCTGGTGCGTCCCGGGGGCCCTCGGGCTGCCGGTGCCGTAAAAGGAGGCGCTCCTGCACTTCTCCACGTCTGTGGAGTCCTCGGCAAGGGGGGGGTCTGCGCTCCCCCTGCTCCCAGGGACCTCAGAGCAATTGCGCTCCTCGCTGGCTCACCCACGAAGAAAGGGCCTGGGCCACCCGCCACCCACCGGAGTGGTGCTGAGGGAAGGGCTCAGCCTCGCCACCCGGCCTGGCCCCTTGGTTGGTCCGCAGCGGCACCCCCCCCCCCCCGCCAGTCCTTCGCTGAGCCCCTGCAAGACCCCCGCGCACGTCATCCTGTGGCACCTGTACAGGCAGTGCCAGGAAGGGCCCCCCCACCCTGTCCCGGGGCACCTCTGCCTTTCCAAGGAAGGCCCACTGGCGGAGGTGCCAGGGAGCCGGGCACGGCTCGGCAGCCCTGCTGGAGCGGCAGAGGAGCTGCTGGGGGCACGGCAGAGGCCCCAGGCCGCTCGCCTCTTAAATATCTGCTGGGGAAGAAGGGGGGCAGCGCCCAGAGCTCTCCAGCGGGGGGAGCGCTCCGCGGCTCTGTTTGGCCCATTGTTCCCCTTGTGGTCCGCTTCTCACACCCGGATCTGTGGGAGCCATTGTTGCCGGCATAAAAGGGCTCTGTTTGCCGTGGCGGACGCAGCTCTACCAGCCTGCGGCGCAAAGCCCCCTGGGAAACTCCCGACATAAAGAGGCCATAGAAAGCCCGGTGCTCCTCTGGAATCAGCCTTGCTGCACCTGGTGCGGTGCCTTGCCCCGGCCCACAGGCCGGGCTCCACTCCTTCCCAGCGGGGCTGTTTCCTTGGAAGTGCCCATGCTCCGAGGACAGGGCCGGGCAGCTCAGCCTCGCTCTCCCGGGCCGGCCTCCGTCAGACTTGGGCATGGAGCCGGAAACCTGCCTGCCTGCCTGCCTGCCTGGGGGGCCTGGGCTCTTCCGGGGGGAACGGGCAAGCATTTGGGAGATGCAAGCTGCCCCGCCCGGGCTGGGGCACTGTTTTGTGACGCGTGCGAAGGCACCCGCCTGCGAACAGGCTCTGCTTGCTTACCAGCAATCAGCCATCGGGGCCCACTGGGAAAAAGCCATGAAGCAAGAGGAAGCTGGCAGCCGGCTGGGAGATGGTGGTGCTGGCTGCCGCTTTGGGGAGCAGCGGTGCCCGAAGGGGCCCTCCTCGGGGCACGTCCAGAGGACAAGGGGCAGGTGCCCGAGTGTTCAAGGATAGGCTGGACGTCCACATGGTGGGCATGTTGTGAGCGGAGCCGGCTAGTGCCGGAGGTCAGACTAGATGGCCAGGGAGGTCCCTTCTGACTTGCTCTGTTTCTATGTTTCTATGCTTCCCCTGCGCTCCGGAGCTTCAGGCGAGGGGAGGGCCAGGGTGTTGGAGGGACAGGCATGCTTGGCCTGGGGCTGGGGCGGATCCAGTGCTCTGTGCCCCATCCAGGCTACAGAAGGGGTCAGTGGGAGCAGACGCTTTTGCGGGGAGCAACCCGCTTCCCCCCCATGTGCAGAATCCCGAAGCCCAGCTGGAGCGTCTCTTGCAGGGAAGGTCTCTGCCGAAAGGAAGGGCCCACCCAAGGAAGGGTGGCTGAGCTGCGGGCCCCTCAGAAGAGGCATGCCAGGCCCCAGAACTGGCTCCCGGCGGCTGCTCTCGGGAGACATGCCCCGCTCGGCACGGAGGAGGCCAGTGCGGCGCTCTGAGGACTGAAGCCGCCGCTGCTTAAAGCCAGCCGCAACCCCCGTGTAAAGCACGGCTAGGCCAGGGCACCTCCTCCTCCTCCTCGCTGGCACCACCTTCTCCCACTCCGTGCTACGCAGCAAGACCATGCGGGAACTTTTCGCTCTGCAAGGGAAGCTCAGAGACACCTCGCAGCCGGGGGGGGGGGGGCACCCCCAACACCACCGGCTGCTCTCCCGGGGTGGAGGCTCACTCACTGCTGCCCGCGGGCAGGGACATGGCCGGGCTCAGTCCCTGCCACATCGCCAGGTAGGACAGGGAACACTCTGGTCCGGGAGCCTGCGGAGCCGGTGCCACCGGCCGCTGGCAGCATCTCGGCCAGAGCAGCGAGGGCCTGGCTTCCTTTGTTCCCACACGGGCCCCCCCCCCCGCCCCGCCGGCACTGGCCTGCCCATTCAGCGGAGAGTGCTGTTCCCCTGGCCATCCTCTCCAGGGCCCCAAGCAAATTATTCCAGCATCACTCCTGGCTTAACCTCAGAAACAAACAAACAAGACCTCCAGGACCCGCCTGGCACTCAGCAAGTAGTGCTCTTGAAGCGGGGCGGGGGGAGGCGGGGGGACAATCCTGCCATTGTTGCCCTGCCCCTCTCCTGGGCTGGACGGGACACACTGCCCTCTCCAGGCCGCTCGCGGGCCCTCGGAGAGGAGGGACTTGGGGACGGGGAGGGGGAGAGAGGTGGGAGCAGCGCTGGTGTCGGGGTGCGGTAGAGATGGGCCGGCCCCCGTGTGCCCCCCATTTTGAAGATGGGACTGCCCCAAGGGCTCGGTGTGCAGAGAAGCACATGCGATTTTAAAAGGACCCTTGGTGAGCTTCCAGGGGGTTTCCCGGGGCCTGGGGTTCTGCAGCCATGGGGAAGGCCTGGGCCCCCCAGAATGCGGGTGGGGCAACGGGCTCTGCTGGGTTGGAGGGGCTGCGGGGCCAGGGAACTGTGCCGTGGCGCAAGTCTTTGCCTGGTGGGGCTAAGCTGTGGCCTCTTCGGGCTATTTTTCAACCTTGACTGCTGACCCTGCCCTTGAGTCACAGCCAGCTGCGGGAGGGGAGCCCCGGTGGACCGGAGCGGCACCTGCACATACCGAGCCTTTGAAGGGTGGGGAGGGGCCGGACCTCGTCCCCCCACGTGTGAAAGGCAGGGGAATGAGACCGCCTTCCTTCTCTTCTGCCCTCTGGGCCTTCAGGAACTTCTGATCAGCGACCTTGTCTCTGCCCTTGCACCCGGGGCAGCTGCAGCAGCCTCTGCCCACGGCAGAGCCCGTGGCTCGTGGAGGGAGGCAAAGGCGGCTGGCCGAGGCAGGTGTGGCTGGGGAGCCAGGTGTCGTGTGCCAGCGAGGGCGCCGTCGTGAACGGGCAGGCGGGCTGCGCCTGCGGGCCTGGAGGCGGGCTGCGTGGCTGGCCCCCGCCAGCGCCATGGCTGCGGGCGGCTTCGTCCGGCGCACGGGCAGCCTTCTGGCCAGCGGGGCGTCCCTCGTGCGCCTTTCCTTGCTGGTCCCCTCACAAACTGTCAGTGGGCGCTGCTGCCTGGAGGAGGAGAGGAGACCCACCTTCGTGCTGCTGCTGGAGACGGGCAAGGACACTGTCGGCGTCTGCCACGCTCTCACCTTTTTGCCCAAGCAGGAAGTTTTGTGCTTTAGAAAGTAGTGATGGGATCGGAGGTTCGAACTGGGATGCTGAGGGTATGTGTGGAACAGCAGGAAGGAATGGGCATTCGTGCCCCGACGCCCGATTGAAAGGCCGCCCCTCTGGGCAACCCTCTCTTTCCCCTGCAGGAGGCTTCCGGCAGCAGGAGCACGGATGGCCACAGAGAGCCGGCGGTCGCCACTCCCGTCCCGGCCTTGCTTCACTCTGCTGCCCCGCAAGCCCCGTGCCAAAGGGAAGTGCCGCGGGCGCAGGGGGCCCAGCCTTGCCCCACCGCCCAGGCCTGGCTTCCGTCCCTGGAAGCGTCACCAAGCAGGGCGGGGAGAGGTTCCTGTCCGAAGCCCTGCAGAGCTGCCCGCAGGTGGCATCAACACTGCGGGGGGGACAACCGGGGGTGCGGGACAGCTTCTTCCGCTCCTCTTGTCCACAACTCTATTGCCCTTCTGAGGACTCCTGAAGCTGCAGGAGGGCCTCCACTGCCCCCAACCGCCGAGGGCTCTGCGTCTGGCTTCTCCAGAAGGTTCCCCAGAGGATGAGGCGAGCACCACACCCCCCCTTGCCCTTCCCAGCTCCTGCGCCCCAGCACTGCGAGGCCCCGCTCTCCCTCGTCCCAGTCCCAGGGGTCCAGCAGCTGGGCCAGGCGTGTGCCCGTGCCCAGCTCCGCTGATGTGCCGCTGCTTTCCGGAGTGATTCCGGGGGCGGGGGGGCCTTGGGAGAAGGTGTGAGAGCTCTGCATGCAGCCTGGTGTGAAGACGCAGCAGGACTAGCCGTGGGGCCTTGGCAGCTGAGGGTGATCACCCCAAAAGGTGAGCCGAGAGCAGCCGGGAGATGCTGTCCCGAGCTCGAGCAAGATCACAGCAGGGACGGGCTTCCAGGGAGGCTGTGGGTCTCGGGCAGCTGAGCGACGGAGGGTCCCAGGTATTTGCCACAAGGCCACCCTCCCCTTCCCTTCCCTTGTGCTCAAACAAGAGAACTGGAAGCAGTCACCCAAGTTTCCTGCTCCTATACGCAACTCCTGCATGGGAAAAGTTGGCCAGCGAAGGCAAGAGAGCCAACCGAGCAAGGCAGGGCAGGGCACTGCCCACGCGCGCGCGCGCGCACACACACACACACACACACACACACACACACACACACTCTCGTGTGCCTCTTGTCCAGAGGAGGGTTAAGAGGGAGGGGCAGAATCAGGAGGAGGAGCGGGAGAAAGGGGGGCTGGCCCTTTAAGGGGGCTGGCTGTCCACCCCAGATCCCTTTTCTTTGCTGGAGGGCAGGACAAGGCAGAAAGAGCCAGAGGGACCAGAGGCAGCCACAACCTGCCTGGGATTGTTCTGACCGACAAGAGGCGTGGAAAGAGCGGTTTGGCTTGCATCCCCGAGCAATGGGTGAGTTCAGTAGCCAAGGGAAAGGTTGGATGCTGCCTGGGGCAAGGCAAGGTCGAAAGGCGCTTGGCATCCCCGGATCTTTCCATGGGCCATCCCTGTGCCCCTTGGAAGAGGCAGCCACGCTTTTTCTGCGAGTTTGTTTTCAACTGCTGGAGGTCTTTGCAGAGGGCAGCCAGAGAGGTTTTGGGTCTTTCTGGCCGCAGGTGGCCTGGCGTCCCCCGCCCCCGCTTTCCACAGAAGGTTCCTGACCCTGAGCTGCTAGCCAAGTTGCAGTTTGTGTCAAGGTGGGACGAGGAAGTGCCAGGCTTCTGCAGGAGTCCTGGCATCCGCGGGACGGGGGGGGGGGGGGGCAATCACGAAGCGTGTAGCGATTCCATCCCAGCTTTGGATCTGACATCCTGGGATGCCCTGAATGGATGTAGCCATGGAAGGAAGGAGAATGACAACACAATTTTGGGTCTTTGATAAATTATTTTAAGGTAATTTGTTGTGGTTATAATCTGGGGGAAAGGAGTGTGTGTACGTTGCTTGATTATTCATCATATCTACTGAGAATTATAGTCAGGACAGTAAATTTAGTTTAAATATTAGTCAAACGTTCTTATCCCAAGAGTCATTAAGGAGGCACAGGAAGCTTTTGGGAGGGTGGCGACTGTGGGGGCATCTCGAGCCAGGAAAGTGGCCAAGAGCGTCTGGCTGGCTTCCTAGCCTGGGGCCAGGGGCTGGCAGCCCCTGTGCACGCTTGTCCTTCTGAGAGCTCGCCTCCATGCTGGCCCCCGTCCTCCGCCTCTTTCACCGTCTATGGATTTGCTTAGCAGGCTTTTAGCCCTGGGAGACTTTTCCTTCTGGGTTGCAGAAAAGTCCTTCCTCTGAAATGCAGCTTAGCACAAATGCAGCCCCACTATTTGGCCTTTCTTGGACAGGCTGCAAATAGGGGCACCTGGGTCCACAGAGAAATAGCTGCCCAGCTGGACAAGATCCAGAGAGACCCCGAGATCCATGCACCAGAATGTATCACAGTCCAGCACTCCAGCCTCCTCTGCTTATTTGGTGGCAAGATGGAGCGGTGCCAGACTGGGGAGATTTCAGACTAGAGGTGGTCAGGGAAGGCGGCGGCTTCTGCAGGCCCGGGAGGCTGTTTATTGGCAGCGCCAGCACAGCTTCTGCTTGCAAGAGCAAAGGAAGGAACCCCACCAAGCAGCTGCCGCTTCGTGTGCGAAGTTTTTGGAGGAGTCAGCAAGCCAGTTGGGTGCCTCCATTTTTCATCTGATCATGGAAGCTGCTATTATTTACCAAGCACAGAAGCACTCAGTCACTCCAAGGGCGAAATGCTGTCCGAGAAGCTTGCAGCAAAACAGCAAATCACGAGCAATAGCAAATAAAACACTAAACTAAATTAATGCAGTTATTAAAATAAAATGCCACTATAACACACCTGTCTGGGGAGATGGAAGACACTAATCTGGCGCAGAAAACGAAACACAAATTACAACAGGGACAGATCTGTGGAGGCAGGAAGGGCGCTGCCACGGAAAGGTCCCTGTTTCTTCCCACGGCCCACCGTACTTCAGAAGTGGAGGGACCCAGAGCGGCCGCAGAGGCTGGCTCGCTGTGGGCTACTTGCTTTCACCCACGCGCACCATTTGTGTGGGCAGACTCGGGTGCAAAGGCATCTGCAGCCCCTGCTTCTCTGTGCGCAGGTGGCTTGCAGGGACCCACCAAGGAAACGCTTCCCAGTGATCGATCGTGCTTTTCTCTCCCAGAGGATGGGCGCTCTGGTTCTTTATCCAGCTCCCACCGAAGAGCAGCTCTGGTAGCTTTTGATAAGTTGATCCGTGTCCCTGAGCCCATCATTCATTCCCCACTGGAAACACCCCCCCCACACACACACACACCTCTTTCCAACCTGTGCTCTTCCTACTCATAGAATCATAGAGTAGGAGAGTTGGAAGGGGCCAAGAAGGCCATTGGGTCCAGCCCCTGCTGTTGCAGGACACCACGTCACACCACCCCGCTTCTTGAATGTCTCCAGTGTGGGAGGGCCCCCCACCTCTCCGGGCAGCTGGTCCCACTCTCCTATAGCTCTGACACTGAGGAAGACTTTCCTGATGTCCAGCCTGAACCTGGGTTGCCACAGCGTGACTTGATTATTCTGTGTCCTGCGCTCTGGCATCAGCGAGAAGAGATCTTGACCTTCCTCTTTGTGATGGCCTTTGAGGGACTTACGGAGGGATCTCATGTCCCCCTTCAGTCTTCTCAAGGCTGAGCGTGCCCAGTTCTCCCAGTCTCTCCACAGTGGGCGGTGTTTCCAAACCCTGGGTCATCTTTGTTGCTTTCTCTGAACCCTTTCCCATTTTTCTGCATCTTTTGCAGTGTTCTAGATGAGGTCGGCCTAGTGCAGCCATAGGGGAACTATTCCTTCTCGTGATTTGCATGTGGCACTTTTATTATCGTCTATTATGTGACACTTCTGCAGCATGTCCCCTGTTGGGGGCTACATTACACTGTTGGCTCATATTTAGCTTGTTGTCCACAATAACTCCAAGACCCTTTCCCTTTTCAGCATGGTTGAGCCACCTACTCCCCATCTCGTATCAATGAATTTGGTTTCTTTTTCCTGGGGGTAGAACTTGGCACTTGTCCGTATTGAATCTCACTCTGCTGCCGGCAGCCTGGCATTCAAGCTTATCCAACTTGCCATGGATCTGCCTTCCAGGGTGTCCGCTATTCCCCCCCGCCCCCCACTTTTGCATCATCTGCAGATCTGGTTATGGTTCCTGGCACTTCCTCATCTAGACCATTAATAAAGATCTGGAAGAGCTCCAGGCCTCAGATTGCTCCTCCTCTAAGCTGAGATATGGCAGTGCCAGAAAGAGCAGGGAGGACCTCCAGAGCGGTGGCCCCGCGGGCTGGCTCCAAGCGGCGAGGTGGCTGCAGGCAAGCAGCTCACCGTGTGCCCTATCGGGAGCGGGGCAGGAGGGTGTTTTTGCCCCTCCTTCGTCCCATTGCCTCCCCACCGCAGTGGGGCTAGCCCATGCGATGTGCTCGTCTCTTGTTGCTTTGCCCCTCTGCGGCAAGAGAGAGGCCCCGGGAGCCGGAGAAGGGGGCCCGTCTCTGTGGCAACCGGGCAGCAGAGCTTCGCCCGGGAGGATGCTCCCCCTCCTCGGCAGGGGGGGGGCAGGAGGGCAGAGGAGCGCTGGGGCAGCCTGACGCAGACAGGCAGCTGGCTCGTGGGGGAGCCGCGCCAGGGCCCCTCTCCTGGCGACCAGCGTGGCTGAACATCTCCTAAGTAAGACACGCGGCCACTACAAAGGCTCTCCATACCAGCTTAGAAACCCGGTTTGCACCACGCCTGGACTGCGCGGTGAGGCTGGAGCGGGAAAGGGCTCGGCTCAGCCCTCCCCTTCCCACGTGTTCCGGGAGCAGGCCCTGTCCAGGTGGCCGGTGCTGAACCATCTGTGGCTTTGCTGCACACCCTCCGGTTCGTCCGAGGGGGAGGGAACCGCGGAAGCACAGCCTGGCTCAGCTGTGGTGCTGCTCCATGGCCCCCGGGCACGGCTTCAGCTGCCTTCCAGGCCTCGCCGGGAGCCTCCAGCCAGTCCCAGGCGAGGGGGAGCCTCTGGACCAGGCACCTTCCAGGGAGCAGCCAGCGGAGCCTGTGCCAGCCAGAGCCACTCGCCGCGCCCTCACGGGGGGGGGGGGGCTCGCCAACAGGAGCAGGGGGGGGGCTGGGCTGGTGCCACGGAGGGGCGGGAGCCGGCACAGCTGAGAGGCTCGCCCAGTGGCCTTGCGCCCACCGCTCTGCCTCCCCGCACAACGCGGCTTATTGTCCTTGGACAAGGGGCTCTTTCTTCCATCTTCTCCTCCAAATGCGCCCCCCCGGCCCTGCACCCCGGCCCCGCGGCTTTGTTCCAGAGCTCTGCAGCCCAGAGCCCCCGCAGAGGTGACGCAGGCACCCGGGAGGCCTGCTCTGCGGGGAGGCGCTTCGGCCGCCGCGGTCTCCGCTGGAACACGGCGCCAACTACGCCAGCCCGTGTCAGGGCCAAGCAAAAGCCCGCGCGTGGGGAGCCCCAGAGAAGCTGAGGGTCGGCTCTCCCCCAGGGCTGTCCCGGGCCCAGCAAAGCACGGGAGAGCACGGGATTGCCAGGAAGGAGCGGCCTGGGAAGCAGCCGTGCACAATTCTGCAGAGCTTTGCTGGAGGCGGAACGATGTTTGCGGATCTGCTGCATTAGTCACTCGCTTGCCTTCAGTGCCGGATCCCATGGAGGGCTAAAGAGCTGAAGGAGAGCTCAGCTGGGCAGGACGAAGGGCCCCTCCTGGCCAACGCCCCACTCTCCCTGGGAGCAAAATGCCATCCTGCAGCAGCGAGTGGCATAGTGGCATTCTGCTCTGGGTGACGAAACCGTTCCTTTTCCTGACCATCCAACCCGTCTGCTCACGGGGCAGCTGCTTTAATCCGGGCCGTTGCCTTCACTCCAGGCACCTGGCTAACCCCCCTCCCCCCTCCACATCCTGGGCTTCCTCGCCCTGAGCAAAAAGCTCCCCTGCCACCTAACCAAACCTCAGCTCGGTGCTGGAGCCCCCGCTATGCACACAGAAGGTTCCCCGTTCCCGGCATCTCCAGGTAGGGCTGAAAAAGTGCTTCCCGAAAGGCTGGAGAGCTGCCACTGGCACACGTCAGACTGAAGGGCAGGGAGCCCGCCGGAGGAGGCAGGCGCAAGGTGGCTCCGAGGTTCCCCGTCCAGCCTCAGGCCATGCCTGAACCTGCCCCCATCAGCAACTGGCTGCTTCGATTACCTTTTGGCCACACTCTGGGCTGACCAGGCATTGCTCCCGAGGGCATGGATGGAGTAGCCAGGCGTACAGCAGGGGCGGCCTCCCTGGCCCAGGTCACGGGATCGCCTGTGAGCAGAAGAGGGCACAAGGTGGGCGTATCTGAGGAGATCCAGAGGGGTGCGAAATGACCCAGGAGCGCCCTCAGGGAGCTCCAGCCTGCCTGCAAAGGGGAGGCGGGCCCCGTGCAGGGGACGGCCGCCTCGCCACAGTCCGCCGTGCTGCGCTGGCACCGCCTGTCGGCCTCCTTAGGGGTCCCCCTGGAGGAGGCCCTGCAGGGCCTTTGCCACGTGACTTCCACATCTGCCCGGCTGAGCCGTTGTGCTGGGCGCTCTGCCAAGGGAGCCATGCTCCCTAGAGGCATCCACGGAGTGGCGATGAGGATGTGGCCTTAAGTGCACTGGGTGGCAACATTAGGAGTTCGCCCGGGCGCTTGTGCCGGCTGAGAAGGCGCATGAGGGACGGGAGGCATTCCGAGGGGGTCCCCGCGGATGGACAAGCTGGAGGAGTGGGCATGGAAGGGGAGGCGTGTGGTGTTGGTAGGAAGGCAAAGAAGATGGTCTGGGAGATGCTAGCTGACTCTGTGAAGGTGGGCGGAAGGAGGCAGGTCCTAGCCCGGCCTGTTTCTGGAGAGGGTTGTCCTTCTTGCAGCAAAAAGTCCGGTGGCCCTCTGACGACAGACACGTTTGTCCTGGATAACACTTGTGGCCACTGGCAGCTTCCTCAGGTGTGTGAGGTGTTCTGCTCTGTGCCAGGTGTCTCTCCTTCTGGGGGGGTGTGGGGTGGGGGGGACACTGCCCAGGCAAAGCTGCAGCTGCCGCTGTTTGCCCAGGCAGGCCGGTGACTCAGTGGCAGGGAGGCCGTGCTGCACAGAAGGCCCACCGCCAGCCCTGCATCTCCCATGCAGGAATCCCAGGGCAGGGCCAGGAACGGTGCTCGCCTTCCTCTCGAGGAAGGGCCACCGCCAGGGCGGGTAGGCAGACTTGGCCAGCCGCGGGGCCGCCTTGCGCAGCCTCCCGTGCTTGGGGGCTCCTGCAGCCGTACCTCCTGTCCTGCTAGGAGAGGGCTTCCGAAGGGCTCCACTCAGGGCTGCTGGTGGACATGGCCTGCGTCCCTTGGGGGCTGCCTTGGTTGCCAAAGCCAGGCAAGGATGGCCCAGGAGCACATCGAGGCCACCAGCCAGCCATCATGTGGCTTCCTGGCGCTCCACCAGATGCCATCGGTGGAGCAGGGAGGGGCGCCCAGTGCCAGGCCTTGCGGCAGCCAGACCCACCCCCTGCTGGAGGGGCAGCCCCCAAGAGAGGCAAGAAAAGAGGCTTGCCATTGTCCTTCAGCCCTCCCCAGAGCCGAGGACTCGCAGTGCGCTCCCAGCTTGGCAGGGAGAACAGAGCCGGCCTTGTCCCCCGTGCCACGGAGAGATCAGCACGGGCTGTCACCCCGACCCCGCGGCCCCTGCCGCGCCTGACGGGCTCGTTCTGCAGGGGCAGAGGAATGCTGCGGGGATGAGGCTGAGCGGCGCGAGGCGCACAGGCGAGAGGACGCGGCGTGGCCGGGCTCCCCACGCCACCAAGCCGAGGGGCCCAGAGCTGTGGGGTGGGGGGCCCCACCGAGGCGAGCGGGGGCGGAGGGGGCTCGGGGCTGGTGCTGTGTTGCACATTCTCAGGTTTACTGTTGTATTTTTTATAATATAGATAATGTTAGTGAAGTGCCTGAACCAAAACCCCAGAGCCAAACACCTCCACAAACTTCGGGTCCTCAGAGTTCAAACCTGGATCCAGTTCCACAACCGAGTTTTCCAGGTAGCTGCCCTTGTCTCAACCGAATCTTTGAAACCCAGCCGCCAGGGGCACTTCCCCCTCACGGAGGTCTGCAGAGGCCGCCAGCTCAGTCCCCACCTCCCTTGCCAGTGTCACCTCGCAGCCGAAGGTGCCCACTGCTACAGGGAGGAGCCCAGGACCAGGACGGGCCTCTTCCCAAGACCCCACTTCCCTCAGATTTGGAGCAGCTCACTGATTTGTCACCCACACGCGGAGATCCATTCCTGCGAAGGCCTCGCCCCAGAGGCTGAGCCCGCTCTGAGGACCTAACCCGGCAGAGCATCCAGTCCAGACCAGGAGTGCCTGGCCCCTTGCTATATTCCATCACGGGATAATTAGTGTTGGGAGATCTGCCAAGATTTCCCAAGGCGGACACGAGAGTGGCGAGCGCAGAGAGCCAGGACAGCCCTCTGGATCCAAGAAACGGCTCGCCCACGCCAGCCAGCCCTGCCAGGCGGGAGCCCCAGCTCTCGGGTGCACGTGCCTGTGGGGAGCACGGAGGCCCCGGCCCCGGGATCCTGCTCCCAAGCTCCCGTCCCGCACCTCTAACACGAAGCCCTGCTTCTGTGCCAGCAATGACATCCTTCCACAGCTTAGCCGTTGGAAATGCCGAAGAGAAGCGACAGCCTTGTGTCTCCCCCGTCCATGGGCTCACACCTTGCGGGGCTTTTGGATCCGGCCTCCCTGCAGCTCTGTTCCTGCCGGGCTGCCGCTGGCGTGGCCCTTCTCTGTCCACGCACGAGTCGCCCTCGGGTGTGGGAGGGACTGGCTGGAGCCCTGCAGAGACAGCGCAGGCGGCTGAAATAGTTTCAGGCAGCTGCCTGGGCGGCGCAGCCGTGTTTATCGCTGCCTCTTCCCACGGTGCTGCCTCCACTCCCAGTCTGCTGCCCAGTCCATAGGATTCCACACAGACTGGTTCTGCTGCCACTAAATCCTTACGAAAGGAAAGACTTGCATGGTAAGAGAAAGTCTAAGCCACAGAGGTGACAGATGAGCTGTCATTCTTGTTCTACGTTTCTTCTGGAAGCAACAGGCGATAGTCTTGAAGACTGTCGCTCACTTGCGAGATCAACTTTAACGCATGAAATTGTTTCCTCCTGCATAGCAATCAAAACACAAAAGAGATTTAGTATCATTGCTGTTTAGGCAATGATAAATATTTTTTTCTAGGCAAAATTAGTATGCAAAGCTGCTTATGTGATGCTAGATCAAAATAGAAACAATACAACAGTAATCAGACAATAAATCAAGAACCATAAAAGAGCAGAGATGGAAGAGCAGGAAACAGCCCGCCCCTGCGCCCCAGAAATGCACAAATCTTGCCCATCAAAATGCCACAGTAACAACAAGCGTTCTGGGCTTCCCATTCCCCTGAAACGAAGCCCCAAGAAGGACCACCTCTTCCTTTCTGATCTGAGGCCAGCCACACTCCTCGCCCCGGGGGAGGCTGGGCCACTGCCGTCCTCGGTCACCTTTGCTAGCAGGCAAATCCTCTTATGGGGATGGGTTACGGGCCTAAAAGAAAAAGAGACTTCCGGATCTGCTGAATGTGAGTTCCGCAGGCTGTTAATCGGTGTTTGCCTGGTGTGTCCGTTGTGCTTGCTGCGTCCTGTTTTCCTTATGCCAATTGCACGCTCGCTGCCGCTGTGGCCACCAAGAGCGCGAGGAGCTGGGACAGCGGGTGCCGAGCAGCAACCGGCAGGCCTGCTGCCAGGGCCACGCGGTGGCTCCCCCGGGAAACCTGCACTGGCCGCGGCACCACAGCGAGGAGGGCCGGCTGGGGCTGTGGGGCTCGTCCTACCCCTCCTTCGGTGATCGCACCTTCTCCTCGCTCTCGCCCAGCCCCGTCGCCACCCTCCCTCCCGGGCAGGCGCTTCCTCGCCACCGCTGAGGGCATCTCCCCGTCTCTCTCTTCCCCGCAGGCTTGCTGGAGTGCTGCGCAAGGTGCCTCGTGGGGGCACCCTTCGCCTCCCTGGTGGCCACTGGCCTGTGCTTCTTGGGGGTGGCGCTCTTTTGCGGCTGTGGCCATGAAGCACTCACAGGCACCGAGCACCTGATTGAGACCTACTTCTCCAAAAACTTCCAGGATTATGAGTACCTGGTTGATGTGTAAGTAACCCCCCCCCCCCCGCCACCTCCAGTGGCTCAACCCCAACTCAGGCCTCCCTGCCCCTCTTCTTCTGCAGAGGAAATGGGGCCGAGCTTCAGACACTGATCTCCACCCCCAAACAGCTCCCCAGGGGCCCTTCCATAGGCACACGCCACCAAGGTCAACGTGGCTGCCCCACCAAGGCCAAGGGTGGGGACAGGACGATGCCTGAAGGGCTGCGGCGACTGAGCGGCCAGTGGGAGGGGCTCAAGAGGCAGGTGTCGCTCGGCATGTTCCCGGCCTCACCCTCGGGGGGCCTGCGGGGGCTGGGCCGTGTCGCACTGGCCACTGGCCCTGGGGGCCCTGCGGGCATCCGCTTGCCAAGCGAAGTGGAAGGGGGCCGAGCCTGCCTCAAGCGGAGCCGCCTTGCGTGGCCCAGTGGGAGGCTGGCAGAGCAGCAACGGGAAGCAGCCCGTGCCTGGCCCATCGAGCCAGGGCAGTCGGCACTGGATGGGCAGCCCCGCCTGAGGCCCAGGCTGGGACCCCTCAGGAGGCTCTGCTGCCAGCCAGAGTCCTTCCCCCCACCAGGTCTGCCCTCTGGCTCCAGCCGTGGTCCTGCTGCCCAGAGCAGGCGGCCGCCCCCAGTTCCCTCCTCCTGTGCGCAAGAAGCGGCACCCGTCTTTTGCTGCTGGTCTGCCCCACAGCAGCTGGGCTGACTGCGGCTGGCGACCGCTTCCCCCAGAGGAAGAGAGCTGCTCCGCATGGTGCCCCCCGCGCCATGCCCCCACCTCCGGCACACGTGCCTCTCCGTCCCCCCACCCCCATGCCTCTGCAGGATCCACGACTTCCAGTATGCCATTTACGGGATCGCCGGGTTCTTCTTCCTCTTCGGAGCCCTCCTGCTGGCCGAAGGCTTTTACACCACCGGCGCTGTCAGGCAGATCTTTGGCGACTACAAGACCACCATCTGTGGCAAGGGCCTCAGCGCTACGGTAACAGGGGGCCACAAGGGGAGGGGTTCCAGAGGACACCGCCAGGCTCACTCTTTGGAGCTGGTGTGCCACTGTTTGGGAAAATGGCTGGGACATCCCGACAAGGTGACCTTCTCTGCCGTCCGCTTCTTCTTGAGCAGCGCGCCCGCTCCGTCGACCGATGGGCATGAGACTGCAGCCCTGCTCGGGCCTGTGCGGGCGCCAGCACGGCCCCCGGCACAGGCGGGAGCAGCTGCGCCGAACTGATGGCATCTCAGAGGGAAAACCGCACTGGACTGCTCTGCCCCCAGCTGCAGGGCCACCCCCGCCCCCGCCCCCACAGCCTCTTCCGCTTCCCTCCCCTAACATTGTCTGCCTCCAACGCTGAAGCACCCCCCTGCTCTGCCACCTCCCCCATGCCCACCAGGGGCTCCCAACCCGCTTGGATGTCCCATGAGCCTGAGAAGCCCACCAGGGCCATGCCGGACCCTGCCACGCCGGCCACGAATCCCGGGGCTGGCGCCAGAGGGAGGCTGGCAGGGGGCCGGCTTTAAAGCCGCCTGCCAGGGGAACCAAGCCCTGCTCGGAGTCTGTATGCCAGGCCAGGTTTGCGGACCTGTCCTGCAAAAGCGGTGGCCTCTCAGGTGCGTGGCTCACGCACACAGGGAAAGAGGGAGCAGCCGGCAAGGGACGGGCCGTGCGGTGGGGAGAGGGACTCTCCTGTGGCATTCAAATGCGTATTTCGGAGCCTCTTGCTGACCGCTGCCCCTGCTGGTATGTGGCCAACTCCAGAGGCCGCTGGGCTAGAGAACTGGCCAATCCTTGCGCTTCCTGCCTTGGCCCAGTGCCACAAAGATATGCTGGCCTCTGGGAAAAAGGCGTCAGTGAAGGCCATTCCGCCCTGGAGAAGGGGCCTGGCATCCATGGCTCCTCTGTGCCCCAGAGGGGCTCGGCGCCGGTCTTCCCCACCCAAGGGCGCAAGGGTGTCCTTGGCTCCTCTGCTCCAGGCAGTGGGACAAAAGGACGGCCACCCGCAGGCCAGCGGGCAGCACTAGAGCTGCGGGGAGCTGCTGCCAAGCCTGCTCTGCTTGCCTCAGAAATGCCCATTTCAATTGGAGTGCAGATCTGCCGCTGACAGCAAGAGGGGCTCGGGTCAGGGGGCCGCGCAGGGTGAGTGCTGTTTTCTTTCAAGATCGGTACATTCGTGCACCTCTCGGGCCAGAGGCTCTGCTCCCGGCACACCCAGTTCCTCCCCACACGCACCCAAATCACGCTCGCCCGCACACCCCTCTGGGCTGTCCCCACATTTGTGGATGCCGCGATGATTCAGACTTTGGGGCGGGCACATGTGCCCGCCCCAAACGGCACAGAACCTGCCTCCTCTCTTGTGCACATGCAGAACTGAGTGTGCCACTGCTTGACCACCTGGCCCGTTTGGAAACCTTTGCTCGCACTGCCGGGCCCGTTCGGCACAATCAGCGCATGCTCCACGCACGCCAGTCCTTGGATAGGTCGGCCTGGCCCAGCCTCCAGTGGGATGTGCCGGGTGTGCTGCATCACAGGCAGAGGAGCGCCCTGCTCCCCCCGGAGGTGGGCACCGCTCAGCCCACAGCCCCCGGGCACCCCTGGAAGCACGCCGCTGCTGCCCCGCCTCTTGCGGTTCCAGCTTGCAGGCCGAAGATGAGCTCTCTGGCACTCCGCGAGCGGGCAAGCTGTTGCCAAAGCTCAGAGCACTGCCCCCGAATTCAGGGGATCGCTTGGAGAGCCGCACGGCCTGCTGAGACAGCGGCTGAGCAGGTGTCCCCGTGGGAAGCCCACGAGGAAGATGTGAGGCCGACGTCACCCTTCCATGCTCCCGAGGACGGGCTGCAGCGGGTGGGCTGCTTTCCTACGGGAGGCAGCCTGGCGCCATCAGGACTAGGAGCATGGCTAGCCTCCTCCCCGATTCCATGACTGATGCCCAGCCTTTTGAAGGAAAAGGGCAGCGCATGCACATTAAGTGGGGCATGGCACACATGCACACTTGCGGCTGATTGTGTGGAAAGGCCTGGCTGGGTCCACAAGACGTGGCCCCCCCCCCGTGCGCAGATGGGCTCGCTCGGGGGCTCAGCCCATCTGCGCCCCGTCGGCGGGAGGCGCCCCCCACGGGGAAGAGGCCTCCAGAGTCAGTTCAGCCTGCAGCTCTCCAGTCTCATGCCCTCGTGCCCGCAGGCCGTGGCTGACCGTTCACGGCCCGCGCTCGTCTCCCTCATTGCAGTTTGTGGGCATCACGTACGTCCTGGCGGTCATCTGGCTGCTGGTCCTGGCCTGCTCCGCGGTTCCCGTCTACATCTTCTTCAACACCTGGACCACTTGCAACTCCATTGCCAACCCCACCAAGACGTCCGCCAGCATTGGCACTCTGTGCACTGACGCCAGGATGTACGGTGAGCGCCGGGCCCCAGGTGGGCCTCCTTTCCAGGAGGAGGCCGGGCACGCCGGTGCCGACCAGCCCACTCCGCCTGGCGCCCGTGGAGCAACCCGCCCTGCCCTTCCCTGCTCCGAAGATGGGGCTGAGGGGGAAGGGCAAGGACGCTGGGCAAAGCCCAGAGAGCCGACAGGCAGCCGCCCTGCCCCGGCCTCCCCGCTTGCCTGCTGCCCCCACGCCCATCGGGGGTCCTCCCTCTTTACCAGATGGCCTGCTGGGAGCATTGCCCTTCCTGCACGTCCATCCCAGTGAGTGGGCTGGCGGATTCCTAAAGCAAGAGCAAAGCGCCTCTGCCCACACAAGGGCCCAATTTGGAGGTGCTTGTGGGGTGCAGGACCCAGAGGCAGAGAGGGCCAAAGGCAAAGGGGCAGGACCAAAGCACCCGTGTTTGGCCCAAAAGCTCTCACTGCCGGCAGCAACGCCCAGGAGAGCCATTTCAGCCTTTATGGATGGGTAAACCGCACGAGCCGGAAAGCTACCCAGCAGCGGGTGGCTGGGGAAAGGGGGCAGAGCAGAGGAAGGGATGTGGCTCCTGGGACCCCAGGAGGTCAGACAGAAACTCCCAGAGGGGTGCATTTGGTCCCTGTGTGGTACCTGCCCTCCCCCTTCCGTGCTGTCATTAGGCCTTCTGGCTGCCCCGTCCCTTCCAACCCATATAGCACGGCCCGGAGTTTTCGGGACCACAGCGAACCTTCTCTGGGGGAAATGGCACCCAGCCTGCTGGCGGCCAGCCCGAGGGCCACAGCGTTTTGCAGAATTCCTCCCCTGCCTCTCTGGCCCCAGGGCAACCTTGCCCCACTCCCGACTCTTGTGCCCCACGTAGGTGTCCTGCCATGGAACGCCTCCCCGGGAAGAGTTTGCGGCCAGAGTCTCCTGTCCATCTGCAAGACCTCTGAGGCAAGTTCCTGGCAACCATTCCTGGTCGTTTCATGCGGAGGAAACCGAGTCCGCAATGTGCTGGCCGAGCCCGGTGCCCAGAGCGAGCGCAGAGACGCGGCTGGGGACATCCTATGGAAAAACACATCTCACTTTGGAGATTTCCAGGGTCAGAAAAGTAGAACTAACGGGAGCCTGAGCTGGCCTGTTGGCACCAACCTTACAGAAATAACCACAAGGCGGCGGCCAGTCACAGATCTTTCAGAGGGGACTCAATTCCCTTTGAGATTTCCCATGCCCTCCCTGCTCTTTGACTGGTCATTCCTTTGGCCACTGAAGAGTCCTTGATTTCTATGTAATTCAGTAGCCTGCTAGTTCTTGGGTGTGGGCGGGGCAGGATTACAGTATTTTAAAGGACTGTCCTAGATTAAAGATACCCTATTTCATCAGCTGCATAAAAGGGCCTTGTAGGAGGAGCAGCAAGGTGGGGGGGGCAGTGGGGGGCCTCCTCTGAAGCCGCTGCCCCTGCTGCTGACAGCTCTGGGTGTTGCTAACTCTTTTAGAGGGTATCCAGCAGCCCCTGCTGCTCCAGGTTAGGACTTCCTGCCTTGGGGTCCCGCAGCAGAATTCAGCCGGGGAGCGGGACAGTGGCGGCAGCTCACTGCCGTGGCGAGCGTTTTCCTCGGCTGCATGAAGCGGGAGGCCATGGCACGTGGGCTGCAGAGGGGAGGCAAAGGCAGCACGCCGCGTCTTCACTGGTGCTGCTGGCCAGGGCCGCGTCGCGCCCCCCTCCACTGGCAGGGGGCCAGGCTGGCCTGCCTTCTCGGCCCGCGGGACTGACCTAGGCTGCTTCTTCTGTTCCCTTGCAGTTCCAGATGACCTTCCACTTGTTCATCGCGGCGTTTGTGGGAGCTGCCATCACGCTGGTGGCACTGGTAGGGCGCCCTTCCCTAGCTTGTCTGTGATTTTGCTGTGCTGAGGAAAAGCTTCCGCAGCAGCAATTCGCAATGCTTCCCGGTACTCTCTGGATGGATCTGGGACCTGGGAAGTGAGGGGCTTGCCTGGGAACGCACGGCCTGGGGGGGGGGCAGGTGTGCAGAAGCTAAAGGGCACGGCCTGAGCGGAGTGTGGAGGAGAGGCTTGCACACCCCTGCCAGCCTCCCCGTGGGCTGGTGAGCAGCCCTGCAAGCCTCTAGGGGCGCCAGGGGCTGCAAGCGACCTGGGCGAGGCGGAGCGGTGCCCTCGGGCCTGCGCACGAGGCAGGTGGGACTCCTGCTCCTCCCCACCCACTGGATGGGGCCCCACCAGAGGTGCGCGGCAGAACACCAGGCCCGGGCAGGACAGGGAGGGGCAGGTTCTCCAGCGAGCGCGGCCGCGTTGCTTGGCAGCCCAGGAAAGCGCGGCGTCCTCACCAGGTCCTCCCGCTTTGCCCCTCCAGCTCACGTTCATCATTGCAGCCACCTACAACTTCGCAGTCCTCAGGCTGATGGGCCGAGGCACCAAGTTCTAGAGGATGAGGCAGGCATGCCACACGTACAAGATGCTCTTCCTCCCCTAACTAGAAGGCTTTAACCCGACAATGCAGCCCCACTGCGCCAGACTCTCCTCCTTAACTCTGCCTCACTGCCCCCCCCCCGCCGCCTGAAGCAGAGTGTGTGGGCAAGGGACTGGGAGAGACCCCTCCCGGGGCAGGCAGCTCCTCGCCCCTCGGCTCTCTGCGCGCGTCTGCAGCGGCGCCGGGCCCACCAAGCGGGGCTCCTTGCCTGGCGCTCACAGCGAGGAAGCGGCAGGCGTGCTCTACCTCTCCTGCTCCCGAGACCGGCTCCCGAAGTCCCACTGGCGAGGCAGCCCTGCTGCAGAGGGAGAGGCGCGCACACGCGGCCCCGCGGCTCCTGCCCAGGGGAGGTGGAACGTCCTTCCGTCTTCGTGCAAGAGGACCAGCAAAGGAGCAGCGCCACCACCGCCTGGGTGAGCCAGCCTGCCACTGCCCGGCAGAGGGGTCGGAGCAAGGATCTTCCCCCACAGGAAGAGAGCGCCGACCCTGACGCTCCCCCGCCACCGTGCCCAGCCAGCGGAGGAGCTTGTTGCCCCCTGGAGGGAGGGGCTCTCATCTCCACACTTGAAGGGCGAGGAGCCGGCCCCGTCCGCCTCTCCCATCCCACGTGCCGCCGTTGCACACCCCTTACCAGCCAGGCGGGAGAGCACCTGCAACCAGCCGCTCGAGTGCAACAGCTAGAGGCGCCGCGGCGGTTCCTGGGATGACCCTCGGACTGCCCCCCGGGCCATGACAGGCCTTTCCCTCCACTCCCAGCTGCGGAGCTGCACGCTCCTGGCCTTCACAATGGTGCTCCCTCCGCGTCCCTCTCCTCTCCGAGGGACAGTCACCTCCTTTCTCTGCGCCACGCTTGAGGATCTTTGCAGAACGTAACCTTTGCTCTTTCTCTTCTCATCATTACTCACTGTCTCTCGAAAGCCATCACGGTTTGCATCTTGGTTAATTTCTAGCCCCAGCTACTCAAATTGGGAAACGAAACAGTCAAAGTGCACCGAACACTCTAGATCGTTTTATTTCTAGATTTTAAAAGAAAGATGTTGATGCATGAGGAAACCAAGCTCCTCTTGGCCTCCTGACAGGATGCCACATGGTAAGAAAGCCCGAGGCTCAAACGGCAAGTGGATCTCTTTCGACCAGAGAGGGGCTTGGTTTAAAATTGGGACTTTGGTGTCGCAATATGGCAAGAGGAGCGAGCGGCTGGACCGCACTGGAAGCCTCCCGGCCTCCCACTCTGGCGAGCACACGGCCAGCCGCAAGTGGCCTCAGCACACGGGGCCGCAGGGGTGGCTTGGCCGGGCGCCTCTTTCCTGGAAGAACCGAGGGGATTGAGAGGCTGGCCTTGGGGGCAGGAGAGCAGCCCGGGCGGTCCTGCCGAACAGGCCTGGCCACGGCCGGACCGAGGAAAGGAACTGGGCCGGCTATCAGTGCACACGGGGCCAGGAAAGGGGTGGGGAGGCAAGAAGCTAGTGGATCTCGGGGACAAGTGGAGTCATCCCCCCGCCCCGTTTCACTTTGAGTTAGATAACACGTAACTTGGACCCATCCCCATCTCCACCTCACCCCTCAGGAACAAAACAAAACAACGGGAAAAGTAGTTAATAAGCTGAAGGTGTTCACTTCTGATCTTGAATTTCAACTTTTTAACAAAGCATAAAGGATTATGTTTTTAAAGACTTATCTTACAAGGTGGATTTTATAAAATTAAAGAAAATAAAATTTAAGAATGTTCTGAACAGGCATGTGTGGGTTGACTCTTCATTACGGCCTCCCCCTTGAAAGCTCAGCAGCCCCCCTCTTGCAACCCAGCACCCCGCTGGCCCTACCGGGGGATCGCAGCCTGCACCCGCTGGCCCTCGCCCTCCAACTCCCTCGCCTTCCTGCATCAACGCAAGGGAGCCACGCGGGGGAGCCCCTGTGAGGCGCCCCCAGCGCAAGAGAAGTGCTGCTTCAGCGCAAGCGACGCGCAGGAGCCTCTGTGCTCACGGCTGCCCTGGGAAGAGGCCAGGTTGGGTGAGGGGGCCGCTGCTTTGCACAACGAAGGTCCCTACGTGCCTCTGGCCGCATCCCCAGATGGGCAGGAAAAACCAGCCGGGGGCGGTTTTGGTGCCCTGGCCAGGCAGAGGGAGCAAGCGCAGGGAGGGCCTCCCTGGCCAGAAAGCCACCTTCTGTGCCCACTTGCCAGAGACCCCCATGGAGAGCAAGCCCTGCGGCTCCTTGAAGGCCATGGCAGTCACGGCAGCGGCAGCTCTTCCGCTCCAGTTCATGCCTCTGAAAAGCACCGCAGGGCCAAGCGGCCCATGCAGCCCCCAGGCCAGGAATGCACCGCGACCATCGAGGGGAAGAATCCGTTCCAGGGCCGCAGATCCTGCTACTGGGGGCTGAGAAATGGTGCGCTGCCTTCGGAAGAGCTGTGCGACCCTCACACACGCCTCGGCTGCAGCGAGAGCGGCTCCCCAGCCCACGGGCGGCCCCGCAAGCCTCGCCTGGCCAGGCGAAGGCCTCCTTTGCTCCCCCCTTCCAGGGCCCTCCTCGCCCCAGCCCACTTCTGCTGCCAGCTCCCCATTCCGAGACCCACGCCGAGGGAGGCACGCGGCCCCTCCCGCAAGCGCCTCAACGGAGCGCACTGTCCGGGGAGCCTCCCACACGCCACAGGCCTTCTCTGTCTCCCGAGGGAGCAGGTGGGCGCTCGAACCCGCCCGGCCTGGGAACAAGCCCATCAGCACAGTGCCCTCCCCTCCTGCCGGAGCAGCTGCTCTGCCTCGGCTCCCGGCGTGGGCCGAGGTGCCGGGGGGGTGTGGAAAGCCGGGGGGCCAGCACGGCTGCACTGTCCTGGGACAGGCAGGGCAGCGGGGGACAGATGGGGATGGCCTGGACCGCCCGTCTGCCCTGGGTGGTGAGGAAGGTCCTCTTCTTGAGCAGGAGTGCAGCTGGTCAGGGAGCGCAGCTCTGTTCCAGCACCAACTGGCAGCGGGGGAAGACCGGTCCAGGAGAGCCGCTGTGGCCGGCGAGGTGGGGCAACACCGGCGGGGCAGCCTGCTGCTCCGGCCTCCGTGGGAAGCACCTGTGTCCCTGCGGAAGCGGCGGGGGCATCTGCGGAACGGCACGCCCAGGGCTGAGGAGGCCAAGTGGCCCGACCTCGTGTTCCACTCAGGACTCCCGGTTGGGCCCCCTTGGGCGATGGCTGTCCAGCTGCATCAGGGAGCTCCTGGCCCTCTTCTGAGCAACCACCTTCCAAGCACCTGGCGTGCCGCCGGATCCCTCACCGGTCCTCCCTCCTCACGGCCACGCATGCTCAGTTCTTCCCCGCTCTCCTCATGGGGCACTGTTCCCAGTCCTCTGGTGGACCTTCTTGCCCTCCTCCGGGCCTTTCCCAGTTGCTTCAATGGGGGGGGCACAGAACTGGGCATGGCTCTCCGGCGAGGCCCAAGCACTGCGTCATGTGATCTGGAGGCGGCACTTCCATTACGGCAACCCAAAGCAGCACCTGCTGTTCTTGCAGCCGCCTCACCGTCGATTCGCACTCAGGTCCTTCTCGCTTGTGGCATCATTGGGCCGAGCGTTCCCCACTGTGCACTGGGTTCCCTTTGGCTAGTGCAGAGCTCGGCTACGCCCTTTCAATTCCACTCCGCTGCTCTCAGCCAAGTGCTCCGACCCATCAAGCTCACTCTGCGCCCGACTCCCAGGGCACGAGCTGCCCCACCCAGTCGGGCGCCCGCTGCAGATCTGGCAAGCATTCCCCGCACTGCCTTGTCCAGACCATCAGTAGAAATGTTGGGGATCCCTTGGCCCCAGGACAGGGCCCTGCAGTGCCCCTTTCTTTACCTCCCCTCGGTTTGAGAAGACGCCATTTGTAAGCACCGAGCTCGACTGTCTGTGCAGCCAAGTGTGGATCTTCGCGAGGACGTTCCGTCCAGCCCACCTTTTCTCGCTTGTGGATCAGCACATCATAGGGCACCGTGAGAAGCTGTGCCAAAGTTAATCCATTTTGTGTCCACAGCATTCACACGGAACACGGAGAGGCGACTGGGTCAAAAAGTGCGATCAGCTCCGTCCGGCATGAGTTGCTTTTGACTAGTCCATGGCAGCTACTAGTAATCACAGCGTCCCCTTCAAGCTGCTCGAAGGCTGACTGCTCTCTCATCTGCCCCAGAATTTTCTCAGGGACCAAAATCAGCACGGCTGGCCTTCATCGCGGCAGAAGTCCTCGCTGAGCAGCAGCCGGTCACGTGACATTTGGTTCTGGGGCCTCCTGAGCTCGCCCCTCTCCTCCAGGCAGGCTGTGCAGGAGGGGAGGCCGGCAGGGAAACTCATAGGAGCCCCTTGAGGCACACTCTGCTCCCCACAGGGAGGCGCGTGGTGAGCCGGAGACCCGCCACGTTCCCTTTGGTGGCTGCCCCGGAGTCCTGGTGCTCCTGCAGGCAGCGGGCCGCTTAGCAGGAATCCCTCGTGTAGCGCAAGAACCAACAGGGGTCTTCCCATGAAGCTGAGAGGGAAGATTCAGGGAGGGAGGACAAAAAGGAGGACTTCCTCACGCAGCCACAGTGGCGTTCTGCAGGCCGCCTTCCACATCAGAGGCCACATGCCTTTGCGCATCACTTGCTGGGGAACACGGGTGCACAGGGTGCAGTCGCTCTCGCCTCCCGCCTGTGGGTTTCCTGTGAGCAGCTGGCTAGCCACAGTGTGGCTGGATGCTGGCACACAGGAGTCTCGGCCTGATCCAGTATAACGCCCATGTTCTAGCAAGATGCAGCTTCACCTGGATCTGCCGTTCACTCTTGCTAGGGACAAAACAACAACGAGAAATTTGTCATCCCTTCCACACACTGGCATTTTATTAGCTTAAATGCAAGTCGGTTTCGCCTCCTTCCATTTCCTTTTGAGTGCAAGGGAAACGGCATCAGCGAGAGCGCGACCAAGCAAGTGGCAAAGAAAATGGCACGGCACTGCAGCACAGGACTCATGCCCAGAACATCTGGCTCCACAAGCACATCGTGCGGCACCGTAAAGGAGAAAACATCCAGCAGAGACACTGCATGGATGGAGCATTG